TCATTTGTGTAAACCGTGCAAACCACCTTCATCTGTCGATTTCATTGTTTAATCTTATGAAATTTTTTCATGAAATTGTTTCATATAATACTTTTTATTGATGAAGTTGTTTCATATATGGTTGTGAAATTGTTTCATATAATACTTAATAAAACTGTTTCATGTATTTCTCTAACATTAATGAAACTGTTTCATGTATTTATCTAAAATTAAAATAATGAAGATGCTAATATCTATGATTAACACCCTCCACAATAAAAATGATTAATCAACCTCTCATAATTATAAAAAAATGAACAAAATGAAAAATTATGATTGGTTGAATACGGTTTACACGGTTTGTACAAATTGAGTGGTTTGCATTTGATCGCTCCCCTATATATATATATATATATATATATATGATCAGGTTAAAGAAAAAACCTCAAAAAATTGAAAAACTGAGGAACACACTCATAACCATTCATCTGAACCGCATACAAGTAACTTGTAAGCAATTTGTTTGGTATGCACAGGATGCATGCGTGCATAAAACCAAAAAACAACTTCAATTACCTACATGCATACGTGCATATGGTCCAGATGGACCCTTACTGGGGTGTTATTTAGTTTTTCATTTTCCGAGATTTTCCCTGAACGTCCATATATCTCTCTCTCTCTCTCTCTATATATATATATAGAGAGAGAGAGAGAGAGAGGAGAGAAGGTTCATGAGAAAACCTCAAATAAATGAAAACTAAAAGACACTTATCAACCGTTAGATTAGATGATTTAATGAATGTGATTAATTGAGTGGGTACAATATTATTTTTTTAATTAAAAAATCCCACCCTCTAATTTTATTTGGAAAAAGACGAAAAATAAACAAAATTCGAGTGAAATAAATTACACCAAAAAACGATCATTTTTTCTTGTTAATTTGACATCCATATTGATATATTTTTCATCCGTTTTGTCATGGTTTTCGATTTATCATTTATTTAATGTTTTCTCTTGAACTTGACCATATATATATATATATATATATATATATATATATAAGGGCTTAATCAAATGAGAACTGAATTGTTTGTGGTAACTGTGAGATCCAATCTCAACCACACATCCTAATAATCAATGGTTAAAATTGAAAGAAATCTTAATTAATGTAATTCCAAAATTAGATTAATGACATTTAATGAGATAATATAAAAAAGGGCAAGATAGTCATTTTTTTTAAAGTTATTGAGCCGGATTTGAGCGCGCGCTGCAAATCCGTTAATATTCTTTATATAAAATTTCAATTCGAATCCAAAATATATTGAAGATTCTGATTGCTTTTGGAGAACGATTTCCCTAAACCCTAGAGGTGATCGCAAGTGGAAAACTATACATAATCGATGGATGCTAACAAAAGATTAAGAATTTACATCATTTTGATAATCATATTCTGATACATTGTGATTACATTTAGTAATGATCATAATCTTGTCTGGTCAAAGTTCTGTTTTGTTGTGTTTTTCAACAGTACCCTTGAATCTTTGATCAAATAACTAATAAGCATAAACTAATGTGATACATTGTGATAAAAAATATCATTTGCTGTTCATTAGCCCCACTTTCAAGTAGATTATCATGGGGTCACTTCATTGTAAACTAAAGTCAAATTACAGTGCCAAATTATTAAGGTCTATCCAAACAGTGGAGAAAATAGATATTATTTTCCTTTGTGAGGAAGGTATGCTGAGCATGTAGATTTTATGCTTTATGTCTACAAGTGAATGGTGCAAAC